CAGGGTGAACCCCTGAGAAGGAAAACATGTTCTCCCGCAGAACCAAAGCAGAATCCTCCAGGTGATTCTAAAGTGAAGGAGGATGGAGGATTGACAGCTACTAGGGGGAAGGCTGTAGGTTTCTCTGGGTGAGCAGGGCCAGTGGTGCTGACTGAGGGGATTTGATGACAAGCAGAGGAACCAGGTTCGGAACAGGGTGCCCAGACTTGCTGATGGTTTGGATGAGGGTATGTGCAGATGTGAGGAGTCCAGGATGGAAGTTTGAAGTGACCACGGGAAGGGTGATTCTGTTAGCTGGGATGGGAAGACTTTCGGAGGAGCTGGTTTGGGAGAGTCTCGAAGTTGGGTTTGCTTTGTTCATTGAGTGGTCCCAGGAGCCCCCATGCTGAGAAGTCACACAGGCAGGGGCTGTGTGCTTTGGGGGTGGAGGAGTTCGGGAGCCCAGAAGTCTCCCAGGAGAGATATCAGGAAAGATCCTCTGGATTTGAGTTGGTACCTAGGACGTGAAGAGTGGGTGTTATGCCAGCAAAGCAAGGGAAACACGGAAAACGAGCCACGGTGGGACATAACATGGGTCATGCGTCCCAGTTTCAATGAGTAACAGAGGGAGATGAGGCGGGAAGGTCAGGTATGGAGTCACATAAAGGGGTTCTGATGGGGGTCAGGGTTGCATATAGTTAGTGGAGAATTGCTGACAGATTTTTGAAAACAGCAGTGAAAGTGATCATAGCCAATGTGTGTTTTGAATGTTTTGTTTAATGGCAGGTGTCTTCATGCCCTTTAATTCATTTACTCTTCAGCGCAACTTTATGAGACAGGAAGTACTATTCTTGTTTATAGTCAGAGAACTAGGTGTAGAGAGTTATGGAAATTATTTGGGGTTTTGGAACTGTATAGTGGCAGACATAGTCCCAAGTTGCTCGGGTCCTGAGTGTACATGGTCCATGAGGCTCTCATTTGGGTAGAATCAGAGATGGTGTGGACTAGATGAGCGGAGGGGAATGGAAGGATAAAGAATATTCTGGAAGATTTTGAGTCTGAGTAATGGAAGGATGACAGAGGAAACAGTGGGCTTATTTCTGACTTCTCCATGCTCAAGCATGGCAGCCATGCTTGAACTTTTTTTATTGTTCCTAGGTCAGGATCAACAAGCTACCTAGGTCGGCCTGCCTCAGGGCCTTTGTACTTGCTGCTGGATCCACCTGGAAGGCTCAAGCTCCTTCAGCTCACTGGAGGCCTTCCCTGCACCTGTCTAAAGCAGACCCCATCCTGTCACTCCCCTATACCCTCACCTTGCTTTGTTTTTTTTCATGGCGTTAGTCTCAATTTGATATTTTGTCTTATTCACGTATTGGTTTAATAGTGCATTACGTCCTCTGCTCAGCTGTCAGCTCCTTGAAGGCAGGAGCAAGAGACAATAAATCTGGAGCTTAGAGGTGGAGGAGGGCTCCCCACACATTTATGGACTGCTTGAATCCACAGCAAGAAAATGCCTGCCCAGCAGTCAGATACATAGATCTAGGGGTTGGGGTGTAGGTTGGACCTGGGTAGTTAGATTTGGAATTTGCTGTGGCAGTGGATGAAATGATTGCATGGAAACACCATCCTCTGCCTGTGTTAATCCTCATGATGTCTCTGAGGCAAGGACTATAAACCCCACTTTACAGATTTGGAAACTGAGGCACAGAAAGGTGAAATAACTTACTCAAGTTCTGTCAGTGGGAAGGGAGGAAGCTTGGAATGGATTCCTTTTCCCCAACAGGCTGGCTCCAGAGCCCAGGTGAGGAGCCCCGTTGGCCAGAAAGACAGAGCAGAGTCTGGAGGGAGTCGTGTCAGTGCCCTTGGAGAGTTGGGGTCACTGCACGAGGCTGTGGGTTAGAAACTCAGAAATGTCCAACATCAAATGTTAGCAAGAGGTCAAGAAACAGTGGACCCAATACACACTAAGCCTGCTGGAGGTCAGTGATGACTTCTTTTTCTTTTAAAAAACTACTGTTCAAAAGTAATTTTAAACAGCTACATTCAGATATAAAATGAACACATCAGAGATTTTATCTACTTCATTATTAATGAGGGCACTTGTAAGGTGTTATGACTGATTCCAAGGTGGATTCAAAGTACTGCACAAGGAAGGAAGGTGAACACTGACATGAATTTACAAACAGATGCAAAAACCGGCAAAAACTCAGTCAATATCCACCAGGCAATAATCAATTGCATTCCAGGGAATTACATTTGCATTTCTGTGGACAAGAGTCATTTGCATTACTATTAGTCTTCTACAAGTTACAGAGTTGTAAAATAGCTCCAAAACAATGAAGGGTCCAGAAGACTCAATGGGGAAGCTAGACAGACTGTACATTAATCTTTTTTTTTCTGCCCATTTCCCAGTCTTCCACAATTTTCCAAATATTACATTTATTATTATTATTTTAATTTTTATTTTTTTGGTGGGGGGAGGAAATTAGGTCTATTTGTTTATTTTTGTGGGAGGTACTGGGGATTGAACCCAGGACCTCGTGCATGCTAAGCATGTGCTCTACCACTCGAGCTACACCCTCCCCCCTATTAATTTATTTTTGAAGAAGTGATACATTCACATGGTTAAAATTCAAAAGATACAATGCTCGGGGGGGAAAAAAAACATATAATGGTGACATCTCTTTCTCACTCCTGAGCCCCAGCCACCCAGTACCCCGTGGAGGCAACCATTGCGAGCAATTTCTTAAGGATGCTTCCAAGAGATTCTATCATAATAAGCAAACATGTTAAGAAAAGATAGACACACATAGGTTTACTTATTTAGGAAAAAAACAAAATGACATTATATTCCACGTTCTGCTCTTGTGTTTTTTCAACCCAGCCATATGTCTTAGAGATTGTTCCATTAAAGTGCTCCCAGATTCTTATTTTTAGATGAAAAACACCATTTATGTATTTATTAATTATTATTTTTATTGCAGTAGAGTTCACATACAATATTTTAGTAGTTTCGGGTATACAACAAAACGATTCCACATTCGTGTGCATTATGAATTGATCATCATGATAAGGCCAGTTACCATCTGTCACTGTACAAAGTCATTGCAATATTATTGACTAAGCCCCTATGCTGTACATCACACCCTGGTGACTTGCTGATTTCATAACTAGGGGTTTGTACCTCTGAATCCCTTTCCCCTGTTTCAACCGGCCTCCCCCACCCCCGGCAACCACCAGGTTGCTCTCTGTATCTCTGAGTCTGTTTTTGTTGTTTTTAAATTCCAGATTCTTTTTTCCACAGCTTCATGATATTCTGTGGTGTGGCAGGATGTGTTTTTTTTTAATCAGTCCTTTATTGATGGCAGGGTGACTTCTGAGTAAATAGCTAACTGAAAGGTGTTGAGGAGTGAGTGAGCAGTGAGGCAGAACAGACTGCAGGAGTTTTCTTAGGAGAATGGGACTGTCAATAGCTCCAACCTCAGTTTCATTATCTAGGAAGTGGGGTGGTTGATGATAACGGTGCCCACCTTACAGTCGTGAAAGTAAATGGGTTAGTTCTTGTAATTTGCTTAGAGCAGTACATGACATAGTATCTAGTATATGGTAACCATCAGTGTTTCATTATCCTCCTTTGGGAAGTTTGATGGTGAAAGAAGGAAGAAAACTGAGGGAGAAGCTTCCAGAAAACACCTTTTCCAGAGTAAGCACAGAGGGAACCAGTAACAGTGATTAAAGGAGTGCTGACTGTGCGCCGTGTTGCTACAAGCTGGACAGGACCGACCCATCGAAGGTTTCTGGGTTGGCATGACGACTGTGCCCATTATACAGATGAGGAAAACCAGGCACAGAGAATGTTGTGCCTCAGGCAAGGCTGCCCAGCTGGCAGGCAGGGCAGTTGGATTCACACCCAGACAGTCAGATGTCAGCAGCCACACACTCGACCACTGCACAGTTCTGCCCCTTGATGTGGGGAAGAAAGGACAACAGGTCAGGGTGTTAGAGAAAGGGGGCGGTGGAGCCAGGGCTCAGATGAGGAGGCATCTGGTAGAGGGAGCAGGGGGAGGAGATGTGGGGATGGGCTTGAGGAAGTGAACCTCCATACACAAGAAGGCAGGAGGGGAGAGGCCGACCTGCGGAGGCAGAGGAAGTGGGAGATGGGCTGATCGTGAGACTGGGAAGATCAAGAGCAAAGGCCCAGTGGAGGGAGGGAGGGAGTTAGGCCCTGGAAGGAACAGATGGGTGATCCGCAGTGGCTGTGGCAGAATGAGCCCAGGGAACGGGGGAAGGAGATGAATGAAGTCAGAGATGACGAGGATACTGATCCCGTCTCCCAGGGCCATTTTTAGCTCTTGGGCTTTTACTCTGAGTGATGTGGGAGTTATTAATGGATTTTGAGTAGAGGAGGGATAAGCTCAGACTTTTTTTTTTTTTAAATAGAGCTACTGGGGATTGAACCCAAGACCTCATGCATGCTAATAATGTGCTCTACCACTGAACTACAGCCTCCCCACAAGATCTAACTTGCTTTGAAAGGATCCCTGGGTGCCTCTGTGTCTGTGTCTGTGTCTGTGTGTGTGGTGTGCATGCGAGAGTGCGCGCATGCGCACACGCGCACACACGCAAGCATTTGCAAGGGCAGAAGCAGAGGGCCCAGGTAGGAGACATACTGCTCAAGTAGGAGATGATGTTTTATTGAGCTCTAATACCCGTAGAGCATGGTGTTAGACTCAGGGCACAGTGGTGAAGGATTCAGACAAGGTCTTTGCCTTGTTGAAGCTTTCAGTCTAATGCAGGGTTTCTCAGCTTCAGCCCTAGTGACATTGGGGCTGGCTAGCTGTCTGCTGTGGGGGCCCGTCCTGTGCACTGTAGTGTATTTCAGTAGCATCCCTGGTCTCTAGTCTCTAGATGCCAGTAGCATCCCCCCACCTCCAGATGCGACAACCTAAAATGTCTCCAGGCATTGCTACTGGTCTAGGGAGAGACAGAAACCAACAGCAAATATACACGTGCTCTTTTTCCCATAATGATGATTGTTAGGAAGTAAAAAGAACGGTCAGGGGAAGTCCTGAATCTTCTTCCTTCTGATTTTCATTTTTCTGCATTCCTTATGTCTTTCCCCAGCCTCACCACTGCCATCTGCCTGAAGAGGGTCCAGAACCACCCCCCTCCCCTTTCCACCTGCCCTTCCCTCCCCGCTCCATTAGCCTCATCCTGCCAGTCCTTCCTAGAAAGAAGGAACAAAACAAAACAAAGAAACCTTCTAGAGGACACCTCTTCTCCAAGGGAGGGCCGAGTCCTAATTGCCTGTTGGAGGCTGTAACCTGACTCTGTCAGCTCCATGCTCTGAAGGTGAGCCCTTGTGTCACTGCGGCCGAAGTTGGCCTTGGTTCCAATTGGCCAAAAGGGAACAAAACAAGATATTTAAGACACTTCCCTGCTTCAATCCTGTCCGTTTCACATAACGGACAGAGCGGCCTGCTGCTCGCTAGAGGCAGATAACTCCAAGGGCGCTAATTTTCCTCGTCAGCTGAACAGACTATCTCGAGACACAGCTTTGCTCCTGCCGCCGCTCCTGCCGCGGGCCTGGCTGTGGGCCATGTCAGCGGGGCCAGGCCTCATCCTGGAACGTGCCTGGGGAAGGGGCTGGGGTCAGCCCTTTGCTCTCCTTAGAGGCCAGCTTTATCATGGAGACGCTCTGTCTTCCTTCAGTGAGATTCTGCCCCCACTCCCATTCTCTCTGTCCCCTGGAAACATTGAGAGAGACACATTTTAATCTATTTTTATTAGCTCATGGTTTATTCCTATCACCACGGAACCTGATTGTTTAGGCCTGTGATGACTTTGCTAGCCAGAGCCACAGTGGCTGCATTTTTTTCTTCCTTTTCATTTAAGCCAAGGTTTCCCCACCTCAGCACAGTGACTGGATCACATAGTTTCTTGTTGGGGGCTGTCCTGGGCGGGGTGGGATGTTTAGCAGCATCTCCAGGTCTCCACCCACTAGATGCCAGTAGCATCTCTTCCCCACCGAGTTGTGACAACCCCAAAAGTCTCCAGACATGGCCACATATCCCCTGGGGGGGCAAAACCACCCCTGGTTGAGAACCGTTGATTTTTAAGGACTATTAAAGCCTGATTTTAGAGATGGCAATGTGTCTGTTTTGACATCTTGCTGGAGGTTTGTAGGGAGGGAGGAGCTTTCTCTGGGCTTTCAAATGAGTCTGATCTAAAGGTCTCGCACCTCCATCATTCAGTACTTAAAACTTATGCTCCTAAAAGAAAACACAGACCATGCAGTTGCTGTTGGTAGATTTTAGTCTTGTTTCTGCTCTGCTTGATTCGATGTCTCTTGTTTCTTTCTTTAGAGGCAGGTGAAGGTACAGGATTTAGGCATGTGGAGTCATAACTGGGTTGGAAGTCTGACCTCTGGCATTGGCCTGCTGTGTGACCGCAGGCAGCTCACTTTACCTCTCTGGGCTCAGTTCCAGCTCTCTAACAATGGCTCCTACCTCATGGAGTCAGTCTGTATAAAATGCTGATTTTAACTAGTGTCACGCCCAGGGCGAGCATGCAGAAATTGCTGGGACTACTCTGTGCACTGGGGGCTTGAGAAGGGCCCACTGGGTAATCTCCAGATTGAGGCCCGCAACGTTTGGTTTTCTTTATTCCCTGCTTATCAGCGACATTCCATCAAACCCAGGACTGGCCCTTAGTAGGCCTGCCCTGGGCTTCCCTTTTCTATCCCTGTCCCTCCCAGGATTCCATCTGCCACCATACCTTTGTCTCTGTCCCCAGCCGAATTGCTGTTTCCAGATAACCTCGGACCTCCCCGAATGCCAACAGCATTCCTCAAACAGAGAAGAGTTGCCAGAATAAGCCAGCGGCTTCCTGCTCTTTGCCCCAGAAAACATTTCCAGTGATCAAGTGATCAGAGGGAGGGAGGGAGGTGGGGGGAGGATGCTGCAGCTGCTTATGCAATCAGCTTTAATCCAGGGTTAAAATCCACCACGCGAACCAGCGGCATATTTTATTTCCTCGTTGGGCTGGGAAGTGAGTTGTACACGACGTCTGCCAGAAACTCAAAAGTCCTATTTGTTCCTCCCAAAGCAGCACCCACAGACTCAAAGAGCATTCCTTATGGGATGGCAGTTGGGGGGGGGCACTGCCCACACAGCCAGCAGGGAGAACACAGGGTGATTAGCTCTGGCCTCCGCCTCTTATTCCCAGTTTGGGGACACGGTTCCACTCCCAGGAAGGGGTGGCCCCTCCCTCCTGGTGAGGCCCAGGCCTGTTGTCCCAATTGCAGACCTTTGTCAGGCCGGGTGGTGGTGAAGGGGTCCCTCCCTGCCTCTTGGCCTCTTCAGCCTAAAACACAACAACACCAGCACCAAAAATCTCCTCCCTTATCATAAAGCCCAGGCCCTGGCCCTGCAGTACAGTGTGCTTGGACGCCTGGCTTGCTCCTGTCTGATCTAAGATTCCAGCCAGGGAGAATTTACTTACACGCGGTGGGCATCTGTCGTCCATGTGGGGGGGGTGCGGGGGCAGGGCGAACAGGCCATCAGCTCCATCGTTTTCTTTGTGGCAACGAATGGGGTGGGATGCGAAAGCCCACAAGCCCTACTTTTAGGAGGAGAAGGGGAGACTTTATTGGGCCATCGGTTTACCTCCTGGCATATGGCTGCCTCACCTCTGGAAGCTTTCTCCAGCCTCTAAAGAATGGTGTTTATTTAGCGTCTGTTGTTCCAGCTTACTGTTTAAAAAAAAAAACCTTGCTAATTAAGCACCTTGCCTTTTTTTTTTTTAAAGAAGCAAGCCAGCACGGACATTTTAAGATCCTTTTGGATTTGCCTTTTCTTTCTCAGGCTACAGACGACTACAAAGGCAGCTTTACAGAGGAAAGAGGCAAAGACCGCCTAATACTATTGAAATGCTAGAATTAAAAGCAGTTCGGAAACACTAGTTAATATTTTACTGGGGAGCAGTGCCAGAGATACGGGGGTGGGGGGGTTGCCAAGGGTAGGGCTGGGTGTGAAAGAGCTGTTCCATCTGCCTTTGGGGATCCAAAGAAGCCGTTCTCTGTGGAAATAAATTTAAGCAAGAATCTTTATAAAGCTCATGGGGTTTGTCTGCCCACCGAGGGCCCAATTCCCCAAGAACATCCCTCCAGGGATGACTGTGACAGGAAGGGCGAAGCAGTGGGTGTAGGCCTGCCTAATAATGGGGGTTCTTGTTCCCTGGCTGAGTTTGACATCTTTCTTTCTCCCTCTGGATTTAAATGGCTTCTCAGCCTGAGAGGCACTGCCTGTGCCCTGGATTCAGAAGGTACACGCCTCCTTGGGAAGCCAAGGCGAGAGACAGCAGCTCACTCTCTCTCTCTCTCTCTTTCTGCATCTGCCGGGAGAGCTGCCGCTGGTATTTTTCCACAGGCCTTTTCTGCGATCTCAGGGCCTAGTTTTTCCCAGCCAGGCCCAGAGTCCGAGAGAGGGTTAATAGGCAGGAAGCTGAAGCCATCGCAGACTAATACGGAAGTCAGATTTTTGTTTAACTGACAGGTTTAGCAGGCCTCAGCGGTGGGGGAGGGGGCCGGGAGGGGAAGGGAAGTTTGTAGATCTAGGCATGTGGCCTGCTAGGAGCGCATTTGGCTTTTCTTAGGGTAAGGACGGAGGGGAGAGGGGGGGCCCTGGCATCCTGGCAGGGAGGCAGGAACCCTTTTTGGTTTTCCTTTGAGTTCTGGCTGAGGGGGGGAGGCGGTGAGAGGTTAGATTCTGGGCCGGGGTAAATGGCCCTCTGGCCTGCTTCGTCCTGGAGGCATTTTGACAATGACTCTGCAAACTTGACCACTCGGTTCCCCTCCTCCCCTTGCAGCCTGAGTCCTCTGCCCTCTGAGAAGCCCCGGCTGCTCTGGAGCGATTTGGGGGGAGGGGGAGCTCCCTTGGCCTGTCTGTTTTGCCTCAGAGGCCTGCCTCCAACCTCTTTCTCTTGCCCCCTGGGCTGTTTTCCTGGCCCTCCACTCCCCCCCTCCTCAGCTTCACTTCCTCCCTGGGGGTGGGGGAGAACATTCTGCTGGATGGTTCTAGAAAAGGGCCAGCCTTCCTCCCAGCAGAGAGCCGCTTCCGTGGGGGCAGAGGAGGGTGAGCCTTTCCAGCTCACCCCCAAAACTCTCTTGCCTGTGGCCTCCGGGCCTCAGGCTTTGCTGGAGCAGGTCAGGCTGGCTGCACGGGTTTGGCCGTGCCGGGAAATCTAGGCAGGGTGTGGGAGAAGGGCGTCTGGGGGCCCCTTTCCTAAGTTTTTCTTGCTGCAAAAGGCCTAGCTTAGCCTGTCTTTTTCTATGCACAGGATGGCTCTTGCTCACCAGAGCCTCACAAAGATAATCGCTCAGGAAGTGTTTCAGCCAATCCGGGGCCGCCTTACACTCCGATTTGCCGGGTCAGCCAATCGGGGATGAGCTCTTATTAGGCGGCCAGATCATCCAGCCGAAGTGCCAAACCCTTTTTCTGTGAGAACTAGGAGCCTGTCCTCCATGTTTTATAAGTATTGACATTACACAGTGTTAACAATGCATCCACAGAGGTAAGCTCGACTTTTTAACCATCTTTTCTCCCCCTCCCTCTGAGACATCCGAATTGTGGGCGAGCAGTGTGATTTCTCTGTGGCTGGCCGTGCCACACTCACCCCCACAGCACTTAGGTTAACTTGGAACTGTTTAGAGAGAATTTTTTTTTTTGCTTTCTTGGGTCACATGGCTAAGTAGCCATTAGCCAGAGCTTGATTTTGCAAACTGGCAAGGGCCTGGCACACCTTTTCTTCCACCAGGACATGGTGTTTCTAGAAGAGTGTGAAGCCAGATCCTGGTATTGCCAAAAAAGAAGGTTTTTTTCCCCCCCCCTCCCTCCTCTCTTTCTCTCTCTCTCTCTCTCTCTCTCTCTCTCCCTCTCTCTGAGCAGTCGTCCCCCCCCCCCCCGCACTATTGTCTTCTCATGCCTGCTGGGGGAAGAATATGGAAGGTAAGCAAGCAGGCTCCTCTCCAAGGAGAGCTCATAGCAGCCAGCTAAGCAGGCAAGTTTACCTCTCCAAAGAGGTGCTGGGAAGGCTGGACTCAGCTCTGACCAGAGAGGACGTGTGTTTGAAAAAGAACCAGGCCCTCAGCAGAGCAGTGCTTAGCAGAGATCCCAGCTCCTGGGGCCTAGGTGGGTGGTGGTGTCTCCCCATGGTCTTTTCCTACAGGGCTTCTTCACTTGAAACTACATTGTTCAGCCTTTTTTTTTCCTGACTTCTGTTGATACAGAGTGTTCTGCAAGCCAGCCTACAGCCAGCAAATGTTTCTGAAAGTGTTTTTGAGGCTTTGGAGGAAGTTTTTGGAGGAGGGATGGGGATGGGGGGCGGGGGGAGTGTAGGAGGTGGTGGTGGTGGGTGGGGGAGAGGTGATGGACAAGATCCTGCAATAAATCTGAGGACTCTTTTTTGAATCCCTTAGTTTTCTACTCTTGCATGGTTTTCAATGAACTCATGTATCTTTTCTCCTTGTTTTCATTTTCCTTTCCCTCTTTTACATTGTATCCTCCTCTGTCCTCCTGTGTGATAGAGTGCAGAGGAAATAAAATCACGTCTGTGGCTCATGACAGCATTCCATATTCAGTGGTTGGGTTGTGTTGTTGTTGTGTGTGTGTGTTTTTTAATAATCCCATGTAACTGTTTAAAAAAATTTCCTTTTTGATCAAGTCCCAAATCTGCCAGCCTGTTCTCTCTTAACTGTGGAAAAATGAGACGGTTGCTTGAACATTTGTTTTGGGTAAGTAAAGCAATCCATTTCCTCTGTGACCATGTATAAAGAGTTTGGCGAACATTCGGGGTCGGTTTGTAACAGGGGGTCTTTGGTTCCAGCCGTTGGGGGCTTTTTATGAGCAGGAACTCAAGAAGGGCTTTTTAATAGTGTCTTGATTTTAGGTAATTGTTTGAATCCACTGTTTTTCCTGATAACCTGCAGCTAGGATTGAAGAGTGTACTTCCTGTTTGCCCTCAGACAGGGAAGCAATGTTCAGCTCATTGTGACTTGACTGGAGACCTTGAATTGGGTTTGTTTGGATATATTAGGTAGCAAACTCTGGGTAGGTGAGCTACTTGTGAAATGTAAAGACAGTGCTGTTCTTAGAGTCACAGAGCCTTAAGCATGGGTGGCGGGGGCGGGGAGGGCCGGAGCTGTGGGTGGTGGTATGTGTGTGGGGGGTGGTGTCAGTGCTTCTGTTTTAGGATATTTCCATGTCTGTAAAATCCCACCCACCACCAAACTTGGTCTGATTCAGGGCTCAGTACACACCAGACCCAGCCCTTTACCAAGCCTGACTCACACCTCTGTATGCACGCTGGCCTTGGCTTCTGATTTGTTTCTCACTTTTTACATCCCCCCACCTTAATGCTGTAGCTTGAACTTCAGAGTGAAAAAAGTAGACTCTTGTTTAGCATTTGCTTCAGAATTTCCTTAGAAGTTCTCCACAGCAGTTTCCAGCCTGGAGACCAGTCCAGCGTCACTGTAAATGCTGGAAATATATTCAGTTGCTGTGTTATGCCAACTTTATGGAGTCAATAATCTTTCTTCTTTTAAAGTGGTGTCCAGCAAGCTACCTTTTAGTGCCAATGGGAAAAAGGCTCATTTAAAAGTGAGAAATGTAGCGAAGTCTAAGTTGAGAAAAGTCTGTGTAAGACAGGCCAGCTTCTTGGAGTAAAAGTATGGGCAGTTAATGATGTTACAGACTTAAAGCTGAACTGCTTCTGCATTATCTGCCCCACACAAGAAAGTTCAGACACTTAGCTGTTTTCTTTGTTCTTATCTCCTGGCTGTAAATGGAAATTACATATTGAGGTTCTTGTGGCCTCCTTAGAAGCAATATCTAATCACAAGACTCCCGGTTTGGTGCCTTCAGTGTTTGCATAATGGTGTATTTGTTGGGCTGGAAGGGAACCTAAGGGCAAGGCATTTGTCCTCCAAAAGCTTACCTTAAAATGGCTCCCACAGGTTTGCAAAGCCAAGATCTGTTTTCAGATGTGCGGCCCCAGCAAGTTCCCAGCCCTGGACCAAGCCAGCCCCTTGTCTCTGGTACTGTGGCCACCACCAAACATGAGTCTGTAAAAAGTTAATGGCGTTCAAAGTCGCATGATTTTCCAGTTTCACCAAAGGGGGAAAAAAGTAAATGTCTGCATTGCAGCAGGACGAGGTAGGGACAGCATTGCTGGCTCACAGTGCAGCCCAATGGGGTTCCTCTCTCCAGCTTTTGAACCAATAGACTTGGAGGAAAGGTTACAGATTGACAATTGCAGTGGCCGGCCTGAGAGCAGGCCTTCTGGAAATTTCTCCCATCTTTGTTCCTTTTAGGAAAAGCAGGTCTGCAGAGCTGAAGAGCCTCCTCCATTCCATGCCTGGGGCACCCCCCCCCATTTCCTTTTTACATCAAGGTAGACTGTTCCCTCTGCCACGTTTGTAAATTGCAGAGGGAGGAACAGAACGTTGGGCTGTTTTCCTTTTCCTTCTGCCTCCTCAGTCCCCAAAGAGGATGCGCAGCTGCAAGGAACAAACACAGACACACTGGAGCTTTTGATTCCCCTCTTTTTTTTTCCCCCCCTTCAAGACCCTCCAGGATGGATTCACTTTCTGCTTTGGGAAATTAAGTGGCATTCATGTGGGGGAGGGGGAGGAACAGCCTTTATTAGCTCCAGAAAATGGTCAGTGTTCCGTCTGTAACTAGGAATTAATTATATATAATCACTCAGTAAACTTTCTACAGAGTTTTTCTAATTGCTGCGCATGAACATGGTTAGCCTGTTGGAGCTGAGTCCAGTTACTTTTATAATTAACAGCTCAAAGATTTGAGTCAGAAAGAAAGAAACAGCGAGGCCTCTTGGATTATAAATTAGGGATGAAAACAATAGCCTTTCTTTCTCTATCTTTCTATCTTTCTTATTAACCCTTTTCTTTTAAACAAAACATTCTCCCTTTTCTTTTCCTGGGAAAACAGTGGAGAAGTGGCTTCAGGTCTTAAATAGGAGGTGGTGAGGGGGAATGAGTCACTCTTTAAAAAGCGGGGTGACAGCAGCCCAGAAAACCCTGAAAGCAAAGGTAGGTTTTTTCCTCCAAAATCCAACCACTTCAAACGTGTGATCTCTTTGTTTCTTCTGCCTCCTTTCCCCCTTCCCTCTCCTGTGGAAGAGGCCACAAACATTTGTCAGCTGGGAAGCCCTAGATCTGGCTGTGCCTCTGGTTTGACCCTGAAAAGAAAGACGCAGGCAGAAGTGTTCCCCCCCAGACCCCCCCAGCAGAGAGTGAGGAAGGGAATCTGTGTGGAAGCCCTCCCCGGCTGGCTCTTCCAGGCTCAAACGGGGGAGGATTCACCCTGGGCTTCAGGTTGCTGAGGCTAGAGCTGCCCTTCCCCCTTCTCCCCAGTCCGCTGATGGATAAACAAGCAGGCAGGAGCCATTTCAGCGCTGCAGCTCGCCCGGCTGCCAGGCTGTCCCTGCTCATCAAGATTACCTACCTACCGGCCAGGAGCCAGCCGCCCGGCCTCACCCTGGCACAGCCTCGGGCCGTCTGCCCTCCTTTCTCTCCTGAAGCTACAAAACAGTCACCTTGAAACTCCCCACCCGCAGCACCAGAAGAGTTCTGAGGCCATGCTCAGACCTGTACCAGTAAATTACATGATCCACCGTGAGCCTCTTAGTTCGGCCTGTGAAAGCGGGTCTGGCCAAACCCATTGTTAGTTTTGAGGGCTCTGTTGGGGGTGGACAAAAGTCTAATTTGTGAGTATCCCGCGCCTTGGCTCAGGGACTGTTTTCCTGTTGTTTCTCCTCTGCAGACGCGGATTGTCTTTCCTTGATGTTAACTGTCTTAGGACTGGCTGGGTGTTTGGTGGCCGTTTTCAGACTTAATAAACAGCCTTTTTATTTCACTGTGGCCTCCGACTGGGGTGCAGCCCTGCAGTCTGGCTTTTCAGATGCCTGCTGCCCTGGGAGCACTTTGCATTCTACCTGGCTCCTGTGCGGTAGGGATGCAGAGCTGGCTTCTGGTCCCCCAAGAAGGGGGAGTGGGTTTTCTCCCCCTCCCCAGCCTGCTCCTTTTGAACATTTTTGTTGTTTGCGCAGACACCTGTCTGTCTGCAGTTTGTGCCACAGGGCTGCCTCTTGCTAACCTCCCACCCACCTCATTCGAGGGCCACGGGGCCTCATTTTAGAGCCTCACGTTGAAGGCTCAGGAGCTAAAAGGGAAGGGTTTTCCTTAGGAACCTGTGACTTCACAAACTCCCCCTGTCATCGCAGATTTTTTTTTTAAGCTTCTAAACGTTGGGTTGTTGGTGTCCTTTGGTTGAGCTTTGCCTAGTTTTGATATTTAGGAAGGTGGCTTTGAAACTAGAAGGCAGCTTAAGCAAGAGCTACAGCTATTGAACAAACTGCTACCATTTTAGCTTCAACACAGGAATGAGGCAGTGTTGCCAGACGCCATTTTAAGAATCCTGCATAAATAGCTTAGCTACCGATGACTCTGCCTGTTTTAGGTGAGTGCTTATATAAAGCTGCTAACCATTCCCTCCCCTCCCCCCAATTTTTTTTAAAGAAATTAATTGCAGATTTAGGGAAGCATGGCTTTTGATTCTGATGTTCACTGTTTTGTGATCTGGAAGAGGAAGATGTTGTGTCTTGGGGATTAACTATTTCTTACAGCCTGGACCAGTTTTGGTATTTTGAATGAAAGTAAAAAGCTGAAGGAAAAGTCCTGTCGGATGATGCATGATTCTTGAATTGCTGTGTGATGATCCTCAGCTGTAGAACCAGAGTCTCGTGCATGCTGGTTATATGTTCTAGACGGGTTAGGTATTCTTGGTTAAGAGTCAAATAGTAGGGGCACTTGGGGAAAAGAAATATTTGGGCATTGTGTTTCCAGGCGTTTTGCTGTCCAAACTAGATCTCTTTTCTCTTCTCTCTGTCCTGGAAGTGTTGAGGGGATGGGATTCCTGGGAATTACGGACCTGCCTCGAGTCTTCAGAATTAATAATCAGAAGGCTTAAAACATCCTGGAGGTGCAGTTCATCTGCAACTTTTAATTGCTCTTTTCCAGTGCATGCAGGTTAAGAAGTAAGCAGAGGTTTTCCTTGCTCAGGCATTGGGGGAGAAACCTTTTTATTCTTCCTGGGACGGGACGGGATGGTCTTGGTTGTATTTGCAGGCGCTTGTTATTTCTTCTTTACCTGAAATCTATCAGTTTGCGAGATCCAGGGGCAAGTGACTTAGGGGAAACGTGAGTTCAAGAGGTGGTGGTGGTGGGAACATACAGTATATACAGCTAGTTGATGGTGTGTTTTCCAGTTGGGGTGGGGGGGTGGGTAGAGGTGGTTGATTTTTTTTCAGCTAATTTTACCCTTCCCTTTAGCTGGCCCCCAGCCTTCCCAGCGACCTAAAAAAAAAGTAATGTCAGTTTGAAACAAGGGCTGCTTGTTCCATTGTTTTTGATTTAAATAATCGGGGTTGCTGGAAGCTAGCAGATATGGAGGGAAAGATGCTGTGTATTTTCTAAGACTTCAATGTGTTAATGATAAGAGTTCAAAGTCTTTTCTCCAGATGCAGCTGCCTTTTCTTTTTAGCAATTATTATTTGACTGTTTTTTTTTTTCCTCCAAATGACTGAACAGTTCTTAACCTAAATTGACCAAGCTCTGTGGGGGCATTCAGACAGGTACAAATCTTTTCTCACCACCACTTTTGATGTAATATTCATAGTTTTCCCCCTAATAACATACTAGTACTTAACACTAAACCAGAAAGGAAAAAAAAAACATGAGATCAGTGGTGTAGAAAAAAAGGAAGTCCCTTTAGATGTGGCTGTTCAAAATGACTAATTTTGCATTCTGGTCTTTGCTTTTGTAAATGAAGTTTTTTTTTTCCTTTAAATGCATAGACTTTGCAATTTCCTTTAGTCAAATAGAAGTTATTGTGTGTGTGTGTGTGTGTGTGTGTGTGTGTGTGAGAGAGAGAGAGAGAGAGAGTGAGCGCGCGTGTGTGCATTGGGTTCCCTTTGAAAGGATGGCTTGCTGATCTGTGAAAAAGATGGTTTTCTGAAATTGTTGTGCTTCAAATCCTTGGCTAAAGCTGGTGGTGCTATTGCTAAAGTTAGGTGATTATAGTGCCTACTTGTAATACTTGGAAAGATAAAACAGCTTCACTTTCTTTTCCTTCTTTTCTGCTCCAGGATTGATTCTCTTAAACTCAGCAGCAAATAGCCACCACCTAACTAGTTTGCATTTCCTTAGCCTCTCAGCTGCTTTCCTGCCTGAAGTATTCAGCTCCTCTAGGCTGTTACAAGCCAAATAATTGTTCCCTTGAATGGAGCCCTCCTCTGTGATCAATACACCTTTGAATGTTTTCCTCCCTGCAGAAATCCTTCGAGTGGGTTTGGGGGGCTCTGTTCTTCGTAATTGTTCCTTTCACCACCGAACATTTTGGTTGGACCCAGAAGAGCGTTTTTTCTCCATCCCTCAAAATATGGGATCGGTTTCAAGAAGTTTAGGATTTCACAGACTTCATGCTAGAGAGGGAAACAGAATTCTAGTTGCTAGAAAGATCAAGATTGCTTTGAGTTCTTTTGAAGCTGGCCATCTACCCCTCTCCCCTTCTCTGAAGGAGCTGCAGGGGGCTTTTTGTTAAAATGTATTTCCAGTCACCCCAAGCAAGAAATGATTGGCAGTATCCATTTGGACAGGCTGTGTATGTTGCAGGCAGGGTGTGTTTCTGAGTGGAGAATGTTTGCCTCTTAAGTTGGAGTCAAAAGTGTTAGTGCTAAAATCACCTTCCACAAATCACCATGTTATTGCATGTTAGCTACGTGTTTAAATTTCAGAGGCGCTTTCTTCTGATGAAAACCATTTGTGACAACATGTCAGTTGTTCCTTCGGTGATTGTGTCCCAGGCTTTCTCTACAGACGCAGTGTGGATGAAATTGTCAACGGGATTCACTATTGGAGAGCTAAATGTGTTATTATTCTGATTTAAAACTAAACTGCCTTTCTTCTCTCTGCTGGGACTAGTTAAGTTTGAGGCCTCCAAGTTCTTCTGACTTAATTCTGAGCTCTCATCCTTTCTATCTGGTTCCCCCAGCAAACATGGAATTCGCCTAAACACATCTCCATCTGACCCTGAGGTTCCAGGCCTTTTCAGACTTAACTTTTGTCTCGTCACAGTCCCAGGCCACGAAGCACAGAGGGGACATTCTAACTCTTCCTCTCTGACCCAGTCCCCCTCCTGTCCTGGTTTTTGAGTCTTCCAAATGGAAAGTTTCAGCCATCTCAGTTGGTGATGCGCCCATTTCTTCTTGTTGAACCACAGTCCGATGGAGTTGCACCTAGAGGAATTATGCAGGTTCTTGTCACTTTGTTGTCAGCCAAATACTTGGGAAGTTGCAGCACTTCAAAGAGTTGGCACTTAGAAAAGCAGAACTTTCCTGGCTTGGCCGGGGAGGTATGTGTGTGGGAGATACGAAATGGCCTGCACTCTGTTCAGCAGGGAGTTCCAACAGAGAGAGGGAGAGGAGCTTCTGGTGGACGGCCCAGCCAAGGGGCCTGTTTTCCCTGCTTCTCTCCCCACCCCCTAACTCCCAGCCTGTCCTTTAAATAATCCTTCCTCATTCCACTTTTGTGGTT